TTCGCGTCGGCGCCGCCGGAAAATTGCCGCCCGACAACAGCAGTCGCGTTTCCATCGGCAGCAAGCCGCGTTCATATTCGAGATCGCGGTCGAATACGCGCTTCGACGACGACGACGTTTTTCCAGAGGGGGGAAAGAGATAAAAAGGAAGGAAAATATCGCGTAGTCGTAAAACTAAACGGAATGCGCCGTTGCAATTTTTATACTCGTTACGCTGATCGAGCGATAAAAAATTTCATACCGCGTTGGATATATGGATGGCCTAACGGAAGTTGGTTTATCGGCTCGTTTTATCGAAATACCTTTTGTCTCGATAAAAAGTTGGCTTCTGCCTCTACCGCGTAAAAAGATGGATGGCCGGACATTCGTCGATTTGATCATATTTTAATGCGATATTGGAATACGCGCACGCACAGTTTGGAGCGAATGCGTTCACACGCGTACGTATATGTATATATATATATATATATATATATATATATGGAATCAGGGATTTTCGTAGGACATCACGAAATCGAAATCGTAACCTCCTTCCTTCCATTGTTCTCCCCGGCTAATTTTCTGCGAAGAGCAATTTGGATGTTTCCAAGGGGGCCCATTACGATTGGTATATAATAGCGTCTCATCAACCGGCTGACCGCCTATCACCTTTACCTTCGTTTTGTCTAATTACAGGTCACGTTTATTGTTTCAGGATGAGAGCGAGCTCTCGAGCAAGCGGTGGGCCAGCGCGCCCCGCCGCCCGGACAGCCCCTGCGTCCTGGGGGCACCAACGTCTAGGGAGGTACGTCGGCTTTTCTTACATTCCCCTCTCCCTCTAATTACGATTACTGTTCCCTTTACAAAGCTCGAACAATAATATGATACAATCGACAAATCAATAAGATGATGGTATTAAATTCATCGCCAAGTAATCAAGTCGTGAATCGTAATTAACAGAATTTACTCGAAACGTAATTTAATTCGAATCAACTATGTAAGGTTTCCGAGTCTCTTTTCTTCTTTCTTTGCCTCTTCCTCCATCCTCGTCTCGAGGTTAGAAATTTTCTCAAACTCGAATCTGACGAACGTCGACTCATCGCGCGACTAATTACCTACCCCTTCTCTGTTCTCGTGTTCTCTCTCACGAGCGTATACCTACGCGATCTTCTCTTGGCGT